TGTAAAGGCGCGTCCGTGTAAAAGAACCTGTTTGTAAAAACTTCGGTGTGTCAAGACATGTGTGTGCGTGTGTAAAAGCTTCTGTGTGTAAAGGCATCCCCGTGTAAAGGGACCTGTGTGGAAATGCTCTTCTTGTGCGTAAAAACATCTGGCGTAAAAGCGTCTGCGTGTAAAAGCTTCTGTGTGCAAAAAATATGTTTGTAAAAGCTTTGTGTGTGAAGGTGCTGGGTGAAAAAACATCGGTGCGCAAAAAGTACCTGAGTGTAAAAGTGTGATCGGCATGTGTCAATCAAAACTTCGTGAAAACATGTTTGTTTGACTGTTTAAAACTTTTGTGTGTAAAAGCATGTAAAAGCATCTCTGTGCAAAGTCCAATGCGACAAGGTCCATGGCAGTTTTCTTCTGCCCACTTGTTTTTTTGAGGGGCGCGAGTTGCCATGGCCTTGTTCGGACGTTGGGCAGATTTGGACCAGTTCCCGGACATTGGGGCTCTTCGAACCCACTTTGCTGCTCCTGATGAATCTTGGACGAGTTTCACCAACACGGTTGGGGACTTTGGGAACGACATTCGCATCCTGGACTGGATTTCTGGCTGGCATCACTCAGGCCACTATGCCAGATTGAACGAGCTTCAACGCTGTCCAAGCAACTCAAATTGGGCTGGTGTGGTGCCTGGCGAAACGGGTAAGTGCCTTTAGAAGCGGTTTAACGGAGACAGAGTTCCAAGACATAGGCCCTTGGGCTGAGAACAGTACAGTGGAACCAGCGAGACAAAGCACCACGTCAACCGGAATCAAAGAAAATATCCTGAACATGTCAGCCTTGATAGATCAGGCAGATGACTCGGAGTTGGTCCCACCGACGGCGACTGAGGTGAACACCTGGTTACAGAATTACCACGCGGTAATGCAGCCATGCCGGAGGAAGCTGAAGTCTTAGAAGCCATGGAGGCGCACATCCAGCCATGGGCTTTCTTGGAAATATATTTTCAATATTTCCATTCCCCCAAGGCTTGGAAGTGTAACCATGTTCATTCCTACTTCACCAAGATGAAAGCAACATCCCACAAGAACAACCAAAAATTTCTTTGCAGGCATCAGAAATCTTGGCCACGTTCCCAGTGGTGAGGCATTTTGTCCACACAGTTGTCCAGCCACGCAGCCATTGCCCTGCAGAGTGCCATGCTTTGCTAGCCATGGCTATAAACCAGGTACATGATGGCAACCAGGCAGGTGTCACTACTAGGGCCAGCCTTTTGGCTGCCATGGAACAGGCCATTGATCATTTTGCCAGAGCCTTTGACACACCATTAATCAAAAAATGGCATTGGACCAGCCCAATCTGTTTCCAGAAGGTGTCTTCCTTCTGAAAGCCAAAGATGCTTCAAAGAAAGTGCTGGCCAACTTGAACTTGTTCCTGGAGACACCTGTTGGCCAAGGCCTTGAGCTCACATTTTGCCAAAGTAAGAGGAGCCACTTGCAGTTCGGCGATGTGGTATTGTACCATGTTGGCAGCCATGTGCACCCACCTTGGCAAGTTGCTGAAATCAAGCTCCATTTTGATTTCCAAGGCCATGCCACAACTTTGGTCAATGCATGGGATTTGCAACAATATCTCCCAAGCAAGCAATACGCTATTTGCATTGCATCCACAAACGTGGGGTTCATTCCCACAGAAGACATCTTGGCACCAGTGATTTGGACCAAAAATGACACAGAAGCCAAAGTGCTCCTGCCCTACCAAATCTACAGCAAAGATTTGTGAGAAAATTGTCTTATACCGGTTGGCAGCTTTTTTTTGCCAAATGGCAATGCACAAGCTTAAACATGCATATAAAAACCATGTCCTCTGTCACATGAAGGTGGCATGTAACTTGCCATAGCCTTTTTTGACTTGCAATGCGTTCTATTCTTGACCACATATGGCTCTATGAGATAACTTATGCATTTTCCCACCGGAACACCAAGCCCAGCCACTCAGCCTCCAGCTTCGATTAAGCCACCATGGGCCAAGTGCTGGGGAGCCAAGATGAAGAAGCCCACCAAGGAGGAGTAGACCAGTATGGCAGACCCAACAGGCCAGGCCCACCAACCACCATTGGCTCGACCAAATTGTTGGAGGGTGGAAACCTAGAGTGGTGGTGCCAAAAGTGTTCCACAAGGGGATGCAGGTCTTGGATTTGGCTCACCAAAACCAGAAATCCAGCCAACCAAGCCTGTAGTGATTGGTCAGTTTCCAAGAAATTGGACCCATTACACAGATGGCATTCCCAGCTGAAAGCTGCACCAAGGCAATGACCATGGGCTCCCTACCTGAAAGCCAAACCAAGGCAATGGCCATGGTGCTTCCTCCCAGAAAGGAAGCCAACAGAGGGCTGCCATGAGCTGCAGTTGCTGTATGTTTTTGGCAATGAACTTCTCATTTCATCGCCCTTCTCACTCCACATCAACATCATGTTGGCTAAACATGATTATAGCCACTTTTTGGCAATGATATTTCTTATTTTGGTACAAACATGTTTTTTCTAGGCCCATATATTTTGGGTGGAGATGATGCTATGATGCCAACCAAAGTTGCCACATGTTCCTATATTTTCTTTCCTGGTAGCGTGACTACTATCCAACCTTTGTGGATGGTTTTCATTTGCAAACGCATTGGTGCTATCTTGCAAATCAGTTTTACTATTTTGCAGACATGCTGCTGTCATCTTGTGACAAGAAAGAAAAGTATGTGCCAAATGTTAAGCAGCAACATATTTTCCTGCCACACACAGCTGCTTGTCCTGATTGAAAAAAGGCAATAAGAACAAATCCAATTGCAAATTCTTGAGTAGAAAGCGTAAAATCATCAACATGTTCAAACCAAAAAAAGAGTTAGACCCTTGTTATAACTTTTGAGTAACTAACATAACTAACATAACATGTTTTAAAAATCCGCAGAATGTAAGTAGTCGTAGTAGTCGTAGTAGTCGTCGTCGTCGTAGTAGTAGTTAGTAGTAGTAAGTAGTAGTAAGTAGTAGTAAGTAGTAGTAGTACTAGTAGGACTAGTAGTAGTAGTAGTAGTAGTAGTAAGTAGTAGTAAGTAGTAGTAAGTAGTAGTAAGTAGTAGTAAGTAGTAGTAAGTAGTAGTAAGTAGTAGTAAGTAGTAGTAAGTAGTTGTAAGTAGTAGTAAGTAGTAGTAAGTAGTAGTAAGTCGTAGTAAGTAGTAGTAAGTAGTAGTAAGTCGTAGTAAGTAGTAGTAAGTAGTAGTAAGTAGTAGTAGGTAGTAGTAGGTAGTAGTAGGTAGTAGTAGGTAGTAGTAGGTAGTAGTAGGTAGTAGTAGGTAGTAGTAGGTAGTAGTAGGTAGTAGTAGGTAGTAGTAGGTAGTAGTAGGTAGTAGTAGGTAGTAGTAGGTAGTAGTGGTAGTAGTGGTAGTAGTGGTAGTAGTAGGTAGTAGTAGGTAGTAGTAGGTAGTAGTAGGTAGTAGTAGGTAGTAGTAGGTAGTAGTAGGTAGTAGTAGGTAGTAGTAGGAAAGTAGGAAAGTAGGAAAGTAGGAAAGTAGGAAAGTAGTAGTAGTAGTAGTAGTAGAAGTAGTAGTAGTAGTAGTACTAGTAGTAGTAGTAGGTAGTAGTAGTAGGTAGTAGTAGTAGGTAGTAGTAGTAGGTAGTAGTAGTAGGTAGTAGTAGTAGTAGTAGTAGCAGTAGTAGTAGCAGTAGTAGTTAGCAGTAGTAGTTAGCAGTAGTAGTAAGTAGTAGTAGTAAGTAGTAGTAGTAAGTAGTAGTAGTAAGTAGTAGTAGTAAGTAGTAGTAGTAAGTAGTAGTAAGTAGTAGTAGGTTTTGCGTTAGCTTGCTAATGCTGGTTTATAGTAAGAAGGAAAGCGAAGGCATGAGCGGCTTTCTAACTCAATGTACAACTTCGCCCTCACGCGTAAATATGCCTTACGTAAGTTTATGTTTTGTGCTCAATTTACACTTCCGTTTGTGGACTGTCAGGTTCGCAATGTTGCCTTTTTGTAAACAAGTGTTTACCAACAAACATATGAGCAAAGCAGATACTGAACTGACGAATGGTTTTATTTGAAGCATTTCAAAAAAAAAATGAAATGACAAACCTCACGAAACGATGCAGTTGGATGTCAACGTGACACAATGCTTCCAGTGTAGTATCTGTTCTTATCAGAAAATGCGACATGATGTCAAACCTTCACAAGTGAGGCTATGATTCAAGTGCAGTATCTGTCAATCATCTTAACTAAACAAACGTGAAACTGTGGATGTCACACACGTCACTACATGCATGCATGTTCATGTATCATTACATGTTTGGTGTTTTACACCCCAAGTGCGGAGGGTGGGTGGGTGCATGTGCTATGATAGCACCGGATTGTTCAGTTTCACTGACGCGTCGGCGTGGAGCCATTGACCGTGGGCACACCGCCTACATCGCCTGGAAGGCTGAGGCAGCCGTTTCCTCTTGGGTTTTGCCTGCTACGACTGGTTTCATTTTGGGCTGGTTTAGCTGTTTCTTTTGGCTCCTCTTACCGACAGTGTCATATGCAAATTGATGTGCATTCAGAAGCTGACTTGGATCGATACGATCAACTTTTTAGCAATCCTGTGCTTGACCTCTTGTTTGGCGTGGACAACGGATCAGCGGTGTTTCTGCAATTTTTCGATTCATCCTCCACGAGGTGTTTTCGAATCACTTGTTTTGCAGTCTTGCTTGAAGTCAGGGATTTTCAGGAACTTCAAGACGCCATCGCACACCCCCAACGGGTGCCAGATCCTCCACTTGCCTGGACCACGCCACGACCTGCTGAAGATGACAGGGGTACCGAATCATAGCACTGCAATCATGCCTTTTTCAAGTAATTTCGGCAACAATTTTGATGATGATGCTTACAACATGCACCTGGCACATGTTTGGACTCAAAACAGATCCTCTGCTTTTACAATGCCCTGGGACCGAGTGATGACTTCACCATGGCAAGCATGCAAACGAATGAGGACTGTTTACGCTGACATGGTCAAATCGGCTATGCCTCCAATGCCGGTGCGCCAACAACAGGAGGTGCAGTTGGAAGAGGCCTCGACTGACAGCGCTTTCAAGATGGCTGGAATCAGGGCCGCAAACAACATCGATAATCGACTGTGGGCAGAGAAGTTGTCATGGGAGAGAAGGGCTGCCTACAAAAAGTGGTCATCCATCATTCTCCATGAAGTTGGTGCCTGGGAGATAGCCCGGCTCGAAGTGCAATGCAGGGCAATGGAGTTTGCCCGTGGAGGCTTGTTGGAGAGCATAGCTGATGCACTGGGAGCGAGGGCTACTAACACTCTCCATAGCAGGGCTGGTCCTTTGCTCCAATACATCAGCTTCTACAAGGAGCGCGGAAAGCCATGCATGCCGCTCCATGAGTTCCAGGTGTACGACTTCCTGAAGGCATGCAACAACAGAGCTGCCTCATTCCCTAGATCGCTGCTTTTGTCGATCAATTTTGCGGACCATCATTTTGGACTTCATGGAGCAGCTTCAATAAGGGCTTCTGGCAGAATCAAAGGGCTGGTCGACATTTTGTATGGCCAGAGGAAGAAACTGGTCCAAAGACCACCCCTGTCCGTGAGGCAGATCCTGCACCTAGAAGCCACGGTGCACGATGAGGGCAGGGCAATTTTTGATAGACTGGCCAGTGGGTACTTCCTTTTCCTTGTGTACGGAAGGCTGAGATACTCAGATGGGTTACAGGTGTCTTCACTCTTGCTGGATGAGCGTCCAGACGGTTTTGGATTTCTTGAATGCCTTGCCGAGAAGACCAAGACGTCCATCACGTTGGAGAAGAAAGCCCGACACATACCCATTGCTGTGCCCTTACAATGCTTAGGCCCAAAACCATGGGTGCAGACGTGGCTGAACCTCCGACAAGAGAATGTCTTACCTGCCATGGGAGATGCCCAAGGTTTTGTGCCGCTTTTGACAACACCATCGAACGGTGGTGGATGGTCGAAGATTCCCTTGACTGTGACAGCCGCCGCTGGATGGCTCAGGGCTCTCCTTCAAGGGGTGGAAGCTGATGGGCCGGTGCGGATTGGCACGCACTCATGCAAGGCCAGCCTGTTGTCGATGTGTGCCAAGTTCAATATGTCAGGACAATCCCGACGGATCCTTGGGTATCACAGTGCTTCCAAGGAAACCTCAATGCTCGTTTACAGTCGCGATGCTGCTGCGGGTCCTTTGCGTGACTTATGTCACATGCTGGAGGTCATAAAATCTGGGAAGTTCAGACCTGATGAGACGCGTTCAGGCAGGTTTGTGGACATGGACCCAGTTGAACCACCAGAGGACGACGACGATGGAGCTTCGTCCAGCACAGCGACGGAGAACGAGGAAGATGTTGACTGTGAAAAGGAAGAAGCTGCCTGCAGAAACGTGGTCGGAGATTGGCAACCAGAAAAGGCCATTGAGGTCGAAGATGCAGTGTACGTCCGGAAATAAATTTCCAGATGCATCCACGTCTTTGCAGACGAAGCTGGGGCTGAGTTCAAATGCGGCCGAAAGATGTCAGCCAGCTACGACAGGCTTCAGACAAAGCCAGCTTTCCTTTCTCCGGCCTGCAATGTTTGCTTCAGATAAATGCCATACATGTATGAATGTCGAAGGAAAAAGGCAGCCATTCGACAACTTGAGCCAACTTGAACGCATCATGATGAAATGCACATCATCAGAGGCACACGCATGCCTTATTGGAAATGCACCATGGAACATCATGCAATGTTCTTGTTTTTGGCTCCAGATGACCAATGCGGTCGAACGGCGATGCAATGTATCGTCATGTTAGCATGCACCATGTGTTTATGCTCCACTTTTGCATGTCCCATGTTTTCAGAGTTTTTTTCAACCTGCATATGCAATCATGCACCACATGTACATGTCAATTTGATGGCTGTTGCAAATAGGTTGAACCTGGCTCAGACAGACATGTTGTCGCTTGGAAACAATTCTTGCTTTGTCGAACCCCTTTTTCTCCTTGCTGCCATGAGTTTTTCAGATAGCGAAGCAGTTTTCTTTCAAAGATGTCGAGAGATTGGGTTCGAAGACGAGGCCATAGACAACATGAAAAATCAGCAACTGACCACCATGTCACGTTTTGCATTTGCTTGCAATTACTCCCCAGCTGGTACTGACGAAGCACCTTTGGTTAACTTGGCAAAAGAGGTCTATGGCAAGGACCCTAGCACTGTTGAGATGGCTTTCATCAGAAGAATCTTTAACGAAGCCTACGTGAATGTTGCATCAGATATCAAGTCCAAGGCAGAAAGCACAGACGAGACACCGATCAGGAAGCTTGCACCAGCTGAGAGGAGTGAGAGACTCAAACAACAGCAGCAGCGGCTGAGAGGCATCAACATCTCAGGACCTTTGGAACCTGGCGACAGCCTCATTGACAAATGCATATCCATTTATGAGAGTGACCGCATTCAATACGTTTCTTGGGAATCAGCAGTGAGTCGAGAACATGAATTACTCACAGGACTGAAAAGAGACACCCAGCTCACTTTTGATGGTTCTGGCACTTTGAAATTGCAGAAGGCCAATCAGGTTGAGCCATGCAACACCAGCAGCGAGATTCAGGTGAAATACGCCTTGACTAGGCGAGCTCTCGCCTTTGAGCAGGCGAACCTGGTGAAGTTCTCCCTCATGGAGGCGTGGTCAGAAAAGATGATGCAATGTCGCCTAGAAGAACCCAGCAGCGGATTTGCCCGCACCACCATGAAACAACTGGAACAGGCTGACCGGAAGCTTTTTGTAGTCTTGGGTGAACACACCCGCGAGGGGATCAAAGCCAACACTGCAGGACGTCCAATTGACTTCATTTTTGAAAAATGCATGCAGTCATCGGAAGTCATGGCCCTTTTGCAGCCTCGACCCATAGCAGCCAACAAACCTGATCGAGAAGCTCCCAAACCGGTCGGAGAGAGTCCAGTCAAAAGGCAGCGTTTTGAGAAAGGTGGCAAAGGAACCTTCAAAGGTAAAGGCAAGTCAAAGGGATCCAACAATGCCCGCATTCCTCATGAGTTGCTTGCTCTTGGTGATGTTGCAGCTTCAACCCCAAAAGGGATGCGTTTGTGTTTTGGGTACAACTTGAAGCGTTGCCCTCATGTTGTTGACAAGCAGAAGTGTGAAAGAGGCCTCCATTGTTGCTGCATCAAAGGGTGCTTCAAGTCCCACCCGGCCTTGGATCACGGGAAGGAATGACTCCCGCTTGAGCGGGAGCCCATACACGAGAGTGGCCATGATTTTCATGTCCCTCAGAGCCTCGGTGGTGAAGGCACGCCGATCAATTTTCATGAGTTTTTGCCTGCCCCCTCTGAGGGCACCAAACCTTGCATTTTTCTTGAGCTTTGTGCGGGCAGCGCACGACTGTCGGCAGCGGTACGTAGTACAGGAATTCCTGTTGTACCCATCGACCACAAGCACAACAGGCATGCACCACGATGCAAAATCTTCCAGCTCGATCTTTCACAACCTCATGCATGGAGTCAGTTGATATTTTTGCTTGATAATTATGATGTTCTAGCGTGCCACATAGCACCTCCCTGTGGCACATGCAGTCGTGCGAGAGGAATTCCGATGCCTGATGGAACTCCTGGGCCTCAACCTCTGAGGTCAGAAAGTGAGCCTTTGGGTCTGCAAGGACTATCCTATGCAGATCAAATGCGTGTTGACGGCGCCAATGCCTTGTACGATGTTTTGGGCAAGCTGGTTGAAGAATTGCACAAAAGGGACATACCCTGGTCAATCGAAAACCCTACAAACTCGTTGATGTGGAGCTTGAAGTTTTCCTTTTTGCAATCATCCACGGAGAGTGGATCCACTGTCATGCATGCGCTTTTGGCAGCACGAGGAAAAAGTTGACAACCTTTTTGGTCAGTGATGCTGCACTTTATGAGCCCTTACAGCGATTCTGCCCGGGAAATCATGAACATGAGGCATGGGGTTTTGACCATGCCACTTCAACTTTTAACACTGCCAAAGAAGCCGAGTATCCTGATGGAATGTGCCGCACCTATGCTGACATTGTACAACAGATTGTGTTGCAGCGTGGTTTGCATGTCCACGACTTCAATGGGAAATCCACAGCCACTGCCCCGCAAGTGCAGAAGCGAGGCAGGAAGGTGCCTCAACTGGTTTCGGAATTTTTGTGGACTAAAGCGGTCCTAACGCGGAACATCCCGAACGTGGATAACAAGAAATGCCTTACTCAACAACATGGCGATATTCCTAAGGGCTGCAAACTGCTAAGAACTGAAGCGAACAAGGGGAAGGACGGAGATTTAACCTTATGCGTTTTTGGGTGTTTCAGAACAATGCAACAATTTGTGGACGTCAGCAGACAGATTTGGCATCCATATGATGAGCTCAAGAACCTGCCTGACTCTCTTGTGAGAACGCTTTTCTGGTATCTCAGCACTGCCCCCTCTGAGATCACAAAGCGCCGAATCAACTGCTTGACAAGATGGAGAACCACGGAAGCCAAACTCAGATCATTGGAATCCGAACTTCATGGACAAATGAGTGAATCAGTTGCATGTGTTCTCCGTAGCAAGAATATCCTCTTGATGAGACAAGTTGCGGAGGAAATGAGCTGGCCCGACGTCAACCTTTTTGATGAGATGACACAAGGTTTTGAGCTCACTGGAAACTTCAGCGCATGTGGCATCTTCAAACCGCAGGTCAACATTCCAACCTTATCGGTGGCCCAATTGAAACAGAACACCAAGTTCCTCAGGCCCACTATCCTGGGGCGCATGAGGCTGACAGAAGCCAGTGAGCTCCAGACGGAACTCATGGAAGTGACAGAGACGGAAAAATCGAAAGGTTGGCTTGAAGGTCCTTTTACTACAGATGAGATAACAAACAAATATGGTCACGACTGGCTGCCGGTTAGGCGATTCGGAGTCAAACAAAAGAACAAGACGCGGCCAATTGACGATTTCTGTGAAAACACGCTGAATGAGACTTTTGGATCGGTGGAGAAGCCTGAGTTGCGCACCATGGACCATGTGCTCTGGGCCCTGGTTGTTCTTGCACAATATCTGACTTTCCATGAACGCATGCAGTTCAAGCTGAGCGATGGCAGCACACTGGACGGGGATGTTCATGGCGAATGGAAAAGGCTGAGACCCATCTTCAAGACCACGTGCGTTGATTTGCAAAGCGCATACAAACAACTTGCTGTGCATCCAGACGAACATCACCGAACGGTGGTAACCTTGTGGGATAACCAGAAGCGGAAACCAGTATGCTATACTTCCAAGGTTTTGCCGTTTGGAGCCTCGGCCAGTGTGCACCACTTCCTAAGAGTCAGCTCTTTCTTACAAGCGGCCGGACTGCACATGGGCCTTTGTTGGGCTGCTTACTTTGACGACTATGCTTTGCTGACGCATGAGTGTCACGAGAAAAGCTCCCTACATGCTGCCTTGGAGTTGTTTGACGTTTTTGGGTTTCTTTACAGCAAAGACAAGCTTGCAGGTTTTTCAGACTGCACTGAACTGCTTGGGGTGGAGCTCAATTTGCAATCTGTGAATTCTGGCCACATCAAGGTGCAGAACAAGCAATCGAGAATAGAAGAGACTGTGCAATTTTTGGACAAGATGATAGAAGAACGATACATTGCGGTGGACCAAATGCCAAGTAAACTTGGTAAGCTGCAGTATGCGGAGGCACAGTTGTGGGGACGTGCGGGGCGGCTTGCCCTTGCAGACATAAGACATGCAGCTTCGCTTGGCAAGGTGACGGTGGAGCTTGATGTAAGAGCTTGCAAGGCCGTTGAACTTCTGAGGTCAAAACTCCTGTCAGGGCGGCCCAGGACAATCAGTGTTTCTAAGAAGAAGATGCCAGTCGTCATTTTTACTGACGGTTCTCTGGAATATGACAACGGTAAACGTGTCGCTGGCATTGGTGGAGTCTGCATTCTTCCCTGTGGGCATGTCGAAATTTTTGGAGCTGAAGTACCACAAGAAATTTTGGATGACTGGACAGAGAATGACGACAAAGATCACGTCATTGGGCTTATTGAGCTGTATGCTGTGCTGACCGCCTTGCACACCTGGTCGCGGCACATTACGTTAGAAAGGGTTGTGGTCTTTGTTGACAACTGGCCAGCTGTCGACGCTCTTGTGAAAGGGGTATCCACCCAACAGACGTGGAGAGACCTTTTGATGACCTTTGAGATTTTGGATGAGAAGCAGCAATCGCTGCATTGGTTTGCCAGAGTTCCTTCATCGAGCAATCCTGCTGATCCACCCAGCAGAGGCACACTTTCAGGCTTGGAGTTCCTCAAACCCTTTGTTTTATGCGAATCCTTCTGTCCCGTTACCAACAAACCTTTGATGCAAATTGTGAAAGAATGAGCTGAAGCAGAATGGGGTGATGGATGTCAAATGCAGACATAAGAATGGCAAGTGCAACCAAAAATGGTCAAGCAACCAACCTCACAAAATGTGAGGTGAACATATCCATCGAATCCCCATCTTCTGCGACGAAAGAAAAAGACAGATGTGCTATCAAACATTCAGTTCATTCTCATGCAGTGATGTCAATGTTTTCATGTCATGTGAGTTGCATGTTTGTTTTTGTATGTTTGGTTTATGTTTTGCGACGGCGTGCGAACGACGTATGACGTATGCGACAAATATATATGTTTGATTATATATGTGACTTTAAGTATAGATATGCCTTATGCCTTGAACAATGTATACTGCTGTACCCACGGCTTATACACTACCACAACCTTACATGTTGCGTAAGCTGAAACCTGTTTGAAAGATCCTTCTGACTATAAGTTTTGCGTTAGCTTGCTAATGCTGGTTTATAGTAAGAAGGAAAGCGAAGGCATGAGCGGCTTTCTAACTCAATGTACAACTTCGCCCTCACGCGTAAATATGCCTTACGTAAGTTTATGTTTTGTGCTCAATTTACACTTCCGTTTGTGGACTGTCAGGTTCGCAATGTTGCCTTTTTGTAAACAAGTGTTTACCAACAAACATATGAGCAAAGCAGATACTGAACTGACGAATGGTTTTATTTGAAGCATTTCAAAAAAAAATGAAATGACAAACCTCACGAAACGATGCAGTTGGATGTCAACGTGACACAATGCTTCCAGTGTAGTATCTGTTCTTATCAGAAAATGCGACATGATGTCAAACCTTCACAAGTGAGGCTATGATTCAAGTGCAGTATCTGTCAATCATCTTAACTAAACAAACGTGAAACTGTGGATGTCACACACGTCACTACATGCATGCATGTTCATGTATCATTACATGTTTGGTGTTTTACACCCCAAGTGCGGAGGGTGGGTGGGTGCATGTGCTATGATAGCACCGGATTGTTCAGTTTCACCCACCCACCCTCCTCTGAAACTTCACAAGGGGTGATGGATGTCAAATGCAGACATAAGAATGGCAAGTGCAACCAAAAATGGTCAAGCAACCAACCTCACAAAATGTGAGGTGAACATATCCATCGAATCCCCATCTTCTGCGACGAAAGAAAAAGACAGATGTGCTATCAAACATTCAGTTCATTTTCATGCAGTGATGTCAATGTTTTCATGTCATGTGAGTTGCATGTTTGTTTTTGTATGTTTGGTTTATGTTTTGCGACGGCGTGCGAACGACGTATGACGTATGCGACAAATATATATGTTTGATTATATATGTGACTTTAAGTATAGATATGCCTTATGCCTTGAACAATGTATACTGCTGTACCCACGGCTTATACACTACCACAACCTTACATGTTGCGTAAGCTGAAACCTGTTTGAAAGATCCTTCTGACTATAAATCATCAACTGACCTACAGGGAAATCAAATCCAGACGCCTCCCTGGAGTCTGGTTCTCAGTTACGAGCATGCAGTGAGGAAACGTGCTTACAGCTTGATGGTCAGTGATCACTTGAAGCTAGGGGCTGCACTGGAACAGGCATGGAAATGCCCCACAACAAAAGAGCGGCATTTTATCACACCATTGGCATTATACAGCAAACGTTCAAACCCTTCGGCATCATGGGGGGACTGGAACCCAAAGGGTAAAGGCAAGTCCAACAAGGGCTCAAGCGGCAAAGGGAAATCCAAAGGAAAGGGAGCAGGTACAGCCCCCGATGGATCAAAGATTTGCTTCAGGTTCAACCAGGGGAAATGCAGTTATCAGAAATGCAAATTTGCGCATTTGTGCAACAGGTGTTTCAAAAAGGGACACAATGCGTTGAACTGCAAGGACGACAAGGTAGCCTTGGATACAACAGGTTCAGTCTGACCTAAGGTGCAGCAGAACAACAATGGAGGGGGCACTGCGTCTTCAAAGCAAATATGCAGGGTCCTCTACATTCTTTCAGGTAGGCCACGGAAGAATTCAGTTTCATCTTGGTTGCGCAAACTGTCAAAACATTTTGGCGTGACTGTGGAGGTGGAGATGGTTGACATACAGATCAAACCCCACCTTGATATCACCAAGGATTCAGTTCAGCAGCAATTGCTAAGCAAGATAGCCGCTGGCAGATATCTTGCAGTGCTCCTGAGCCCTCCATGCAGTACATTTACCAGGGTGACCTGGGCAAACCGCAGGGGACCGAGACCAGTCCGATCCTTTGTGAAATTCAGGGGATTTGCTAGGCTGTCGTGGTCGGAACGGAAGAGGGCAAATTGGGGCAACATTTTAACAGATTTTTCATTTGAGGCCTTTGCGAAACAAATGGTTCATGCAGATGCGATGGCACTTTACGAGAACCCGGAAGACTTGGGCGCCATCAGAGCTGGGGAAAACAGGGGCATACGACCCGGAAGCATGTGGCAGTTTGAAAAATTTTCTGAGCTTTTACTTTTGGACAACGTTGACACTGCAGCGTTTTACCAAGCTGACTTTGGTACAGACTATTTGAAGCCTACAAGACTTTTGTTGGGGGGTTTTTCAGTCCTGCCGGAGCAACTGGTGGCGGGACAACCTTGCTTTGATGATCAGGGTTTTTATGTAGGTCCACTTGCAAAGCGCTCTGCAAAGCGACAACTGGTGGGAAACGTTGGGAGCCATTTTGCAACCACAGGCTCGGAACAATGGCCCTCAAAAATGTGCAAGTGGATAGCAACAGCCATTCTGGAAAAATTTTCTGCCCTTCAAACCTCTGCAGTCCTCGCTGACGATGGAGATTTGGGAACCATCTCGGACAGACAGGAACAGTATAAAGTGTTACAGCCGGACGGCAAGAAGCTGGCAGGAGGAGTGGGGGATCCCCGCAAATGTCAACCTCCCGGCAAGGATAGACGTTTCCATGACGGTGCTGGGCTGCTTTCAATGGGACGTTGGGATGTTGAAAACAGGATTTGGAGCATGGGAGCGTTTTGGAAGCAGCTGAGGCAGGGCACAATTGCCTTGATTGAGGCACATCTGGTCGACCCAAGAGAGTTGGATAGAGCATGTTTTGAGATGGCAGTGAAGGGTGAAGAGGGCTGCAACATAGTGCGGGATGAGAAGCTGAAGAATGAGATTAGGAGATACTGGATCTCTTTGCTTATACAACACGGGTCATCGCAGACGGACCTGGAACATGTGGCGGATGGCCAACCTTTTTACCTCAGGTTGATGAGGGAGCTTTTGGCCTTTGGGGAGGACGCCGATCGTGACTTCCTGCTACAGGGGGAGACGGGGTTCCCAGTGGGAGTGCTGAATCCACTCCCACGCACCCCGCATGCTTATGAAGAGCAAACTTCTTGGCGGTTGGAGGATGAGCCCTTTATGCAGGAGGAAGTGTGGCGTTCAAATTACCAATCAGTCGAAGATCATGTCCAGTTCATCAGGGAGCATTTTGAGGAGGAGTGCAATGAAGGGCTCATGGAAAGACTCACCATTGAGCAGGCTAAAGAGCGATATGGGGACAGGATTGCAATTTCTTCTCTGGCAGTGCTGGTGGAAGAGAACCATCAGGGAAAGAAGAGGGTGATACATGATGCCACCCACGGGACGAAGGTGAACAACAGAATCAGGTGCAGGGATAAGACTAGGAGTCCTAGTGCAAGAGAAAAACAATACCTTCTGGCCTATTTTCAGAAGAACAGATCCTCGGTGTTCAGCCTGGTGGGTGACATCAGCAAGGCGCACAGGCGCTTTTTGCATGCGCCGGAGGAGCGTGGCTTATTGGAGTGTCGCATCCTCGAGTCTGACCAGTTCATTTATATCAACAGGGTTGGAACTTTTGGCTTGGCGTGCGCCTCATATTGGTGGGGGCGTATTGCAGGGGCTGGAATCAGGCTCACCCATGAACTTTTGGGGCCCACCATGCCGGTGGAACTACTTCTTTTTGCGGATGACTTGGAGGCCCTAGGGGCCAGCGCTGGTGGGAGACGAGGAATCACTTTGGCCTTTCTTTACATGTCTGTACTTGGTTTTCCTTTTAAGTGGGCGAAGCAGAGAGGTGGTTTGCGTGTGGAGTGGATAGGCCTTTTTACGGACTACACTGTATACAAGCTGGGCTTATCGCCAAAGAGGGCACAGTGGATGCATGACTGGGTCTTGGAGCTTGCCCAGTCGGGTGTTACCACCTCAAGAAACTTTGAACAAGGTTTGGGACGCTTGGGTTTTGCATCCCTGGCGTTAACTTGGGAAAGGCCCTTTTTGGGGCCCCTGTACAACTGGAGTGCAGCGGTGCGTAACAAAACAGGTGCTTTGCGTTTGCCGGCCATGCTTCGAACCATCCTTAGGTTCCTGGCAAAGCGTTTTGAGTCAGGCGGCGACTTGCAAAGCCCTCCTCCACTTGACAGACCTACGAGCAACGGCCTCACCTTCTACACAGATGCAAAAGCAACAGAATCCAGTGCTTGGATTGGTGGTTTCAAGCAGGACTCAGAAGGGAAGGTGGTTTCTTGGTTTTCAGAAGAGATTTCCCCGGAATGGGCACCATGGCTACATCTGAAGAAGGATCCCAAGAGGATCATAGCAGCTCTTGAACTTCTGGCGAGTTTGGTGGCAGTCAAGCTGTGGATGCCTACAACAGAGGGGACAACTGATGCGGTTTGCTGGATAAAAGGAAACACGGACAACCAGTCCAACACACATGCCATTTCACGATGGATGAGTACAAAATTTCCTTTGACAGTTTTTATCATGGAGCTGTCAGAGTCTTTGAGATGTGGCCGTTGCTGTTTGACATTGGACTGGATACCTCGCGAGGCAAACCAGTTGGCAGATGACCTCACGAACGAGAAATTCGACAGCTTCAACCAAGAGGACAGGGTCAGGTGGGATCCAAAGTTGCAAAAATGGCACGTGTTGGATGAGTTTATGTTACATGCAAATTCTTTTCATGCAGAGATGTCGAAACGAAAGAGTGAGCCGCAAGCTCCCCAGCAAAAAA